AGACAGGTGAGAGACAGGTGAGAGACAGACAGGTGAGAGATAGAGAGACAGGAGAGAGACAGGTGAGAGACAGGTGAGAGACAGACAGACAGGTGAGAGACAGACAGGTGAGAGACAGAGAGACAGACAGACAGGTGAGAGACAGACAGACAGGTGAGAGACAGACAGACAGGTGAGAGACAAACAGGCAGACAGTATAGTAGTATTTGTTTATTTGTCTCCGAGGGGAAAGTGTGTTGCAGCACATCACAAAGGCATTTCAAAAGAGAATACAGACGTCACTGACAACAACAGACACGGATTAAAACCAACAGACATCGGCAGACATGGCGAGAGGGTGCCTCAGGTCACTCGCAATACTGTGTGCCTATTTTACAACTCTGTCCTTGAATCAGCTTTCTATAGAGAATGAGATTCCTGTCAACGTACTGGTCAATGTTACGGCCCTCCTGACGGACTTTGTCTGAGCCTCAGTGCCGAACCGGCATAAGACGCCGAAGGAGAGCACTTTCAATAAAAGCATGATAAAACATCTTCACCATTCTGTTGCCGACATGAAAAGACAATCATTTACGTAAGAAGAACATTCTTTGTTGAGACTTGGCATTTATTTTCTCAGACCAAACATCCCATCTGAGTTTGTGGTCAAGCACGACACCAAGACACATTGAACGGGCTCGCTATTTAAAGCGTCGGGTTGGGGGATTGTGCTATTCTAAAATTTGTTCCCATCTCTTTGTGAGGTGTTTAGAAGCAGGTTGGACTTCTCTCACCAGATCATACAGAAGTCAAGGACAGCCCAGCCTCCTCTTCCTCGTCAGAGAGGAGGCTGGGCGTATCTCCTGCACACTTCAGAAAGTGCCTGTTGGGGAAAGAGCTGATGCAGGAGTTGGAGTATCAAATGAAGAGGATAAGACACATCCCTGGGGTGAGCCGATCCCAACCTGCTGAGGAAGTCCACGATCCAGGAGATCAGACCAGGTTCAAGGGAGAATTCTTCAGTTCAGATATGTGCTCAAATACTTGGCTTGATGGTGTTATGTGTTCATGATCACACTCTGGCGTGAAGTGCGCTGCTCGGCTGCGCACCGCGTCTCAGCTGCTCCGTCCGTCTTGTGTTTTGTTTTTATTGGGCTAATTATTGTCTAAACGTTGTTTGTCGTCATTTTTGAGAGACCATGCTTTTGATCCTGTGGATTACATTTGCCTTCTGCGGACCATGTCTGGCCATTCAACTTTCCAAGACCCACCTGAGTGACAGCACGAACAGGTATGGCGAGGAGCCCCGGCCTCGGCGCTGTGATGCCACGCACCTTTCAGGCTTCCATTGACACCATCCCTCTGCCATGGGACACTCCACACACCATCCCTCTGCCATGGGACACTTCACACACCATCCCTCTGCCATGGGACACTCCACACACCATCCCTCTGCCATGGGACACTCCACACACCATCCCTCTGCCATGGGACACTCCACACACCATCCCTCTGCCATGGGACACTTCACACACCATCCCTCTGCCATGGGACACTTCACACACCATCCCTCTGCCATGGGACACTTCACACACCATCCCTCTGCCATGGGACACTTCACACACCATCCCTCTGCCATGGGACACTCCACACACCATCCCTCTGCCATGGGACACTCCACACACCATCCCTCTGCCATGGGACACTCCACACACCATCCCTCTGCCATGGGACACTTCACACACCATCCCTCTGCCATGGGACACTCCACACACCATCCCTCTGCCATGGGACACTCCACACATCATCCCTCTGCCATGGGACACTCCACACACCATCCCTCTGCCATGGGACACTCCACACACCATCCCTCTGCCATGGGACACTCCACACACCATCCCTCTGCCATGGGACACTCCACACACCATCCCTCTGCTATGGGACACTCCACACACCATCCCTCTGCCATGGGACACTCCACACACCATCCCTCTGCCATGGGACACTCCACACACCATCCCTCTGCCATGGGACACTCCACACACCATCCCTCTGCCATGGGACACTCCACACACCATCCCTCTGCCATGGGACACTCCACACACCATCCCTCTGCCATGGGACACTCCACACACCATCCCTCTGCCATGGGACACTCCACACACCATCCCTCTGCCATGGGACACTCCACACACCATCCCTCTGCCATGGGACACTCCACACACCATCCCTCTGCCATGGGACACTCCACACACCATCCCTCTGCCATGGGACACTCCACACACCATCCCTCTGCCATGGGACACTTCACACACCATCCCTCTGCCATGGGACACTCCACACACCATCCCTCTGCCATGGGACAGTCCACACACCATCCCTCTGCCATGGGACACTTCACACATCAAACTGCTGCCCAAAAGAACATGAGGACTGCAGACCAATAGCCCTCACCTCAGGGATTATGAAATCACTAGAAAGAATTCTGCTCCGATTTCTTATCAGTCCAACACAAGACAAACTGGATCCATACCAATTGGCCTATAAACAAGGGTGCGGTACGGAAGACGCTGTGGCCACTCTGGTTCACATCACTAAACATTTAGATAAACGCAACATGAGCAAGAGCCCTCTTCCTAGACTTCTCATCAGCATTCAACACAAGCAGACATCTTGGGGTCAAAAATGGCCAAAATGGAAGTAAATCCATACCTGATTTACTGGTATGCTGCTTTCCTCACTAGTAGAGAGCAACTTGTGAAGGTTAACAAAACCCTGTCATCTGCCATCACAACCAATGTAGAGACAGACAGGTGAGAGACAGACAGGTGAGAGACAGACAGGTGAGAGACAGACAGGTGAGAGACAGGCAGACAGACAGACAGGCAGACAGACAGACAGACAGGTGAGAGACAGGTGAGAGACAGACAGGTGAGAGACAGGCAGACAGACAGACAGACAGACAGACAGACAGGCAGACAGACAGGTGAGAGACAGACAGGTGAGAGACAGACAGGTGAGAGACAGACAGACAGACAGACAGGCAGACAGGTGAGAGACAGACAGGTGAGAGACAGGCAGACAGACAGACAGGCAGACAGACAGACAGACAGACAGACAGACAGGTGAGAGACAGACAGGTGAGAGACAGGCAGACAGACAGGTGAGAGACAGACAGGTGAGAGACAGGCAGACAGGTGAGAGACAGGCAGACAGACAGACAGGCAGACAGACAGACAGACAGACAGACAGGTGAGAGACAGGCAGACAGACAGACAGACAGGCAGACAGACAGACAGGTGAGAGACAGGCAGACAGACAGGTGAGAGACAGACAGGTGAGAGACAGGCAGACAGACAGACAGACAGGTGAGAGACAGACAGGTGAGAGACAGACAGGTGAGAGACAGGCAGGTGAGAGACAGGCAGACAGACAGGTGAGAGACAGACAGGTGAGAGACAGGCAGACAGGCAGACAGACAGACAGGTGAGAGACAGACAGGTGAGAGACAGACAGGTGAGAGACAGGCAGACAGACAGGTGAGAGACAGACAGGTGAGAGACAGACAGGTGAGAGACAGGTGAGAGACAGGCAGGTGAGAGACAGGTGAGAGACAGGCAGACAGACAAAACAGACAGACAGGTGAGAGACAGACAGGTGAGAGACAGACAGGTGAGAGACAGGCAGGTGAGAGACAGGCAGACAGACAAAACAGACAGGCAGGTGAGAGACAGACAGGTGAGAGACAGGCAGGTGAGAGACAGACAGGTGAGAGACAGGCAGGTGAGAGACAGACAGGTGAGAGACAGACAGGTGAGAGACAGACAGGTGAGAGACAGGCAGGTGAGAGACAGACAGGTGAGAGACAGACAGGTGAGAGACAGACAGACAGACAGGTGAGAGACAGACAGGTGAGAGACAGAGAGGTGAGAGACAGGCAGACAGACAGGTGAGAGACAGGCAGGTGAGAGACAGGCAGACAGACAGGTGAGAGACAGACAGGTGAGAGACAGAGAGGTGAGAGACAGGCAGACAGACAGGTGAGAGACAGGCAGGTGAGAGACAGGCAGGTGAGAGACATACAGGTGAGAGACAGACAGGTGAGAGACAGGCAGACAGACAGGTGAGAGACAGGCAGGTGAGAGACAGACAGGTGAGAGACAGGCAGGTGAGAGACAGGCAGGTGTGAGAGAGAGAGAGACTTTATATATATATTAGGGCTGTCAAGTTAACGCGCTAATAACGCGTTAACGCAAAAAAAAATGAACGCCACTAATTATTTTAACGCGATTAACGCATGTGTATTTTTTGTCCTCGGCCGCCCCGTAGTTTCAGAGCGCATCGAGTTTAAAACACCATCTGCAAGCTGATGCTGACAGCCCCGCTCCTGCCGCCCGCTTGCTGCAGACCACACTTCCACGCTCACCGGCAGGCTCCGACTGGCCATCGGGAGGACCGGGAGGGTGTGTGTGTGTGTGGCGCGAGAGAGAGAGAGACATTACGTGTATTGTTGTTGTTAGCATCTGGTGCTAGCTAGCATATGCCTTGAGTTGCACATAGCTCCAACGATCCAACACACACACACACACACACACACACACACACACACACACACACACACACACACACACACACACACACACACACACACACACACACACACACACACACACACACACACACACACACACACACACACACACACACACACACACACACACACACACACACACACACACACACACACACACACACACACACACACACACACTTTGTATTATTGAATGAGAGAGGTTCCAGGTTGTTGTGTTTAATATTCATGAGCACTCATATGTTGATAAGAGTATTACAAACTTGAAAAATATTCCTCTAAGGTACATTTAGAACAGATCAAAAATGTGCGATTAATTTGCAATTAATCGCGATTAACTATTTTAATCGACTGACAGCCCTAATATATATCTATTTATACCAGAGGAGAGAGTCTCTGAACTACATCTCCCATGATGCCTTGCTGTTACCGTCATCTGAGTGAGGTTCTGCTCCACAGAGTGCACCATGCTCTCCAGATCCTGCGCCTCCTGCTCCTCCCGACGCCTCCTCTGCAGCAGCTCCTCCGTCAGCTGCTCCACCCTGAGGCATCATGGGTCAATATGGCAGAATTTGGAGATTTTTAGAAACAAGTCAGAATTTGGAGAGAACAGTTTTAAGAAAGTCAACATTTTAAGTTTTTTAGAAAAAAGTCCGAATTATTAGAAAAAAAATCTGAATTTTTAGATTTGAAGAAAAAGTCCGAACTTGAAAGTGGAGCCATCACGCTATATTGGAAAGCCATACCTATACAAAACACGCCTCATACTGCTCATACGCCTCTTTTGCAGCCCTGTTACAGAGACGCTGATTCTGGGTCCTTAGCTTGAAAAAAAAGAGGAGGCGGAGCTAATCAGATTTCTACCGGAGATAAAGTTAAATTCTGCTGTGATAAAACGCCACCCTGTTCTAAACCACATCAAGGATTATTTCTGAAACAGTATGGAGCTCAAATGCTTTCTCTCTTGCAGGTTTATCATTTCAATTCAAACCTTTATTTAGACAGATAAATCCCATTGAGATCATTGATCTCTTTTTCAAGGGAGACCTGCTCAAGTAGTTCCACATGAAACATAACAACATACATAGAACAACAAAAGGTCATCAAACAGCATCGTTTACATAACTATCCACATGTACAGGTACCAATAGCTTCTGATTGAGTCGCATCCAACCGAGCTTTAAAAACATTTAGTGGCACCAGATTGTTCAGTTTCCATTTAATTTGCAGACTATTCCAAGACAGAGGAGCTGCGCATCTAACAGCTGTCTTCCCTAAGACAGTCCTAGCAGCTGGCTCATTTAATAAAACCACAGCATGCGATCTCAGGCAGTAGCCACTTACACTTCTCCCTGAGACCAGGGAGCAGATATAAGATGGAGGTTTCCCTAACATGGCTTTGTATATGAAAATGTACCAGTGACTGAGCCTCCGTGCAGTTAGTGAAAGCAGACCAGCCCTTGCATACAGGGTACAGTGAAGAGTGAGTGCTTTACAGTTTGTGACTGTACAGAGCGCTGTGATACGCAGCATCTAACTTGACCAGGCAATGGGCAGCAGGTGCATTCATATAGACCAGATCACCAGAGTCCAGCACAGGTCACAAGGTCACAGAGCCTTTTCCTGGCCTCAAGCGAGAAACAGGACTTGTTCCTGTAGAAGAAACCTAGTCTAACCCTCAGCTTTTTAAGCTTTAAGCTTTTTAACTTTATTGACATGAAGTTTAAAAGTGAGACAAGGTGAGTTCTTTTTTTATGTCCTGCTTTGTAAACACATGCTCTCCAGTACAGGTTAGCTCTGAGTGTTAGCGAGGCTAATGTAAACAAAGACGAGATTACGTCCAAAACACGTCGGGCATTGTTTCTGATAGCAACTCTCTGTGGGTCCGCCGCCGATCAGACGTCAAATCTGTATCCGCTCGTTGTTCCCCCGTTTTTAGAGATTTGGGTACGGAGGAAAAGTCAGAATTTTAAGAAAAATACTGAATTTTAAGAAAAAAGTCTTAATTGTAAGAAAAAGTCTGAATTTTGAGATTTTTATAAAAAAGTCTGAATTTTGAGAAAAAGCCTGAATTGTGAGATTATAGATCGGTGACGGTGGGTGCTGTGTTATGATTGGCCGATGCTCACCTGCGCTGGTCGGCCTGTGAGCTCCTCTGCAGCTCCCGGATGGATCTCCTCAGACACTGGTTCTCTTCCTGCAGCTGACACACACAACACTCTATTTATTTTGGAGGGTACAAACAGGAAGTTGTGTTTGGTGTGTGTACCTGTTGTACTTCCTGTTCATTATAACGGCTGTTAGCTCCTCCCCCTGCTGTGAGCTGTTAGCTGCTGTAAGCTCCTCCCCCTGCAGCGAGCTGTTACCTGCTTCAAGCTCCTCCCCCTGCTGTGAGCTGTTACCTGCTTCAAGCTCCTCCCCCTGCTGTGAGCTGTTACCTGCTTCAAGCTCCTCCCCCTGCTGTGAGCTGTTACCTGCTGTAAGCTCCTCCCCCTGCTGTGAGCTGTTACCTGCTTCAAGCTCCTCCCCCTGCTGTGAGCTGTTACCTGCTTCAAGCTCCTCCCCCTGCTGTGAGCTGTTACCTGCTTCAAGCTCCTCCCCCTGCTGTGAGCTGTTACCTGCTGTAAGCTCCTCCCCCTGCAGCGAGCTGTTACCTGCTGTAAGCTCCTCCCCCTGCAGCGAGCTGTTACCTGCTGTAAGCTCCTCCCCCTGCTGTGAGCTGTTACCTGCTGTAAGCTCCTCCCCCTGCTGTGAGCTGTTACCTGCTGTAAGCTCCTCCCCCTGCTGTGAGCTGTTACCTGCTGTAAGCTCCTCCCCCTGCAGGTGGAGACGGCTTCAGCCATGGAGGTTTCATCATCACCTTCATAGCTCTCTGCTGCTCCTGCTCCCTGCTGGGCCTCCGGTCTGGAGGAGAACCTGTAGATGTGGGAAACTAACCAATTAGAGAGCAGCACTGAAAGTAGCCAATCAGAGAGCAGCAGACCTACCTGGTTTCCTCCTCCCCCTCCTCCTCCGTGCAGAGAGAGGAGGTGCTGTCCACACCTGACTGCAAGCTCCGCCCCCACTCCTCCTCCTGATTGGACAGAGAGACAGACAGACAGACAGACAGTGCTGTTAACGCTGTACAGTTTTCAGACTGAACTCCCACTGGGGACCTTCTGATGATGTCACAGGTAGTTTCTGATGATGTCACAGGTAGAGTTTCTGATGATGTCACAGGTAGTTTCTGATGTCACAGGTAGTTTCTGATGTCACAGGTAGCTTCTGATGATGTCACAGGTAGTTTCTGATGATGTCACAGGTAGTTTCTGATGATGTCACAGGTAGTTTCTGATGATGTCACAGGTAGTTTCTGATGATGTCACAGGTAGTTTCTGATGATGTCACAGGTAGCTTCTGATGATGTCACAGGTAGTTTCTGATGATGTCACAGGTAGCTTCTGATGATGTCACAGGTAGTTTCTGATGATGTCACAGGTAGTTTCTGATGATGTCACAGGTAGTTTCTGATGATGTCACAGGTAGTTTCTGATGATGTCACAGGTAGCTTCTGATGATGTCACAGGTAGTTTCTGATGATGTCACAGGTAGTTTCTGATGATGTCACAGGTAGTTTCTGATGATGTCACAGGTAGCTTCTGATGATGTCACAGGTAGTTTCTGATGATGTCACAGGTAGTTTCTGATGATGTCACAGGTAGTTTCTGATGATGTCACAGGTAGTTTCTGATGATGTCACAGGTAGCTTCTGATGATGTCACAGGTAGTTTCTGATGATGTCACAGGTAGTTTCTGATGATGTCACAGGTAGTTTCTGATGATGTCACAGGTAGCTTCTGATGATGTCACAGGTAGTTTCTGATGATGTCACAGGTAGTTTCTGATGTCACAGGTAGCTTCTGATGATGTCACAGGTAGCTTCTGATGATGTCACAGGTAGTTTCTGATGATGTCACAGGTAGAGTTTACCTGTGGGTCCAGAGAAGGCTCCGAGAAGAAACAGCTCCTGACCTCAGGGTCGAAGGTCACGCCCTCCAACGACCTCTGAGAGACAGACAGACAGTGGTCGTTTCTCAATGTCGAGTAAACCTGCTGCAGAGCAACTATTTCAAGTAAACTACGTAATCGAGTGGCGCCAAGGACTGTTGGAATGCATGTTAAACGCCCAGCATTCTGCGCCACTCTATGACGTAGTATGTCTGAAATAGCGGCTCTGCAGCCGGTGTACTCGACATTGAGAAACGGCCAGACAGACAGAGATACAGGAAGTTATAAAGTTGTCAACTCTCTGATACGCATCGTTTAGAGCAGGGACGGCAACTTGGATGGTGGTGGTGGGGGGGTCACGTAATGTATGTACTGGCCACCAGGGGGCCGCAGATTCACTTGGAACACACATTCCATGTGTTGTATGTAATTATTAAAAGTCTGACATCTTCATTGATATGTTCCGATCTTCAGGAGCAGCCTCTGACGAGCCGCTGAACACACATCAGCTCATTTCATGATACTCAATGTTTACAACGGGTCATCAAACAAGGAAGACAACTACTCTCAACTACTGGAAATTAAGATTAAACAGTAACATGACATAAACATGAAGTCAGACCCCCCCCCTCTCAGACCTGCCCCACCCCCTCTCAGACCTGCCCCCCCCTCTCAGACCCCCCCCCTCTCAGACCTGCCCCCTCTCAGACCTGCCCCCCCCTCTCAGACCTCCTCATTGGGCCGTGTTCATCTGGGACCCGCTCTATCGAAGTCGCAACGGCTCATTTCAAAATAAAAGTGGATTTGTGTAAAAAATGAGTTTTTCGGGGTTCGTTACAGTTTGTTTTCATCTGATTTCAAATAAATACAGTCTTGACTTTTAGAATATTAAACTCGTTTTGCCAAATTCAAATTCATGATAAATATAACTTTGAAGCTTCGGCATAATTACAAGCGGAGAACGGAGTACTTGACGTCACAGCAGGCAGAACAACAGCCGGTGTTTCTCCTGAGTTTCCCCGGGACACAAACACAAACACGTCACAGATTATTTCGCGGTATTTGGGTGGCCATTTTTTTTTTTTATTACGTTATTTTCTAAATTGATCCGAGGGCCGTTTGCCCATCCCTGGTTTAGATCAACACATGGCTCATCACGGTCAACTCTCAATACGCATCGTTTAGATCAGGGGTTTTCAAAGTGTGGGAAGGGGAGCCGCGCCCTCCCTCCCAATTATTATTGCTATTATTATTATTAGGGCCTGAGCACGAAGTGTGCGAAGACCTATTGTAATGCATAGAATTGTTGTTGTTGTTGTTGCTATAATGCAGGGAAATTCAATTGCATTGCAAAGAGGTCCAGTGAGAGAACATGAAATGCTCTGTTTTCGCTGCCTCTCTCTTTTGAGCACGCCATTTGAAATGACTCACTGACTGCACCGATTTGATTGGCTGAGTAGCGTCACCTCCTTAAAGCATTAAACAATAACCTTTTATAATAAATACATTTTGTAAAAAAAAAATTACATTTTCAACATCGTGGATGAATCCTTATTTGCTCCCGGCAACACACTGAACGCCTCCTCGTTACTCTCAGCTACTTTAGTGGGAACGATGATCTGCGTCTTTGATGCGCACAGGCGGGTGGTGCGGGGGTCAGAGTCCTGCATCGGGTCGGGTACCCGCAGGCTGAGTACCCGCGGGTACCCGCAGGCTGAGTACCCGCGGGTACCCGCCGGGTGACAAAAAGTGATTCGCGGGTGGTATTTTTTCAAACGCTTTTTTCCTGGTTCGGTTCTGGGTAAAACAAAGATGATGCGGGTCGGGTCGCGGGTGTTGCATAGTAAATATATTAAAATAATAATAGTTTAGTTTAATGTTTAAATCCTCAGACCTCTCCCCCGCGGGACCGCGCATAATCATAACCTCTGCAGCGCATCAGTCTGCTGCTGAGCTGAGAGCTGAAGCTCTCTACGGAGAATACAGCATTTCAATAACTCTTCCTCAAGAGCGAAACCCAACGTCTGGAGGCTTCTGGTTCCTAGATGAGCAAATAACCAACATCCCACGCAATACGCACCTGCGTGTGTTAATAATTGCATGTTTTCACTGCTCATAGGATGTGCGGGTTCGGGTCGGGTTGCGGAACTAATTGGCGATATGTGCGGGTGGCGGGCGGTAGGGCTAGGTACCGAGCCCCGGTATCAAACGGGCCCCGGGGCTGAATTATTAAAGACCGTGGTACCGTTAAGCTCCGACGTTATCGGTCTTTTTATCGGTACTGGAGACATGTAAAATATAGATGTGTATTATTGCTACACAAACATTATATTGCAGTTTTAGGGTCGCCAACTGTTTCTAATACGCTTCTTACATTTTGAACCGCTGGTTCAGATAATCTCACGGCTCCTCCCGGCTGGTTCTGAGGAAGCTGACGATTCTGAGACCAAGTCAGAATTTTAAGATTTTGAGAAAAAGTCAGAATACAAATAAATAAATAATAATTGTGTAAGAATGTCATGAGATTTATGAAACAAATTAGAATCAGGACTTTTTGCTAAAAGGTAAACATTGTTGCTAAAAAGTCAGATTTTTGTGAAAAAGTCATAATTTTAGAAAAAGTAAGAATAGCTGTAGTACCTGTCTGTGAGTCTGGTCCAGGTCCAGGTCGGGGTCCGGGTACAGGTCTGGTTCTGGTTCCAGGTCCACATCTGGTTCTGGTTCCAAGCTCTTCCAGCGCAGGAACTCTCTGAAGGAGAACGGGTTCGGGTCCTCCTGCTCGTCTGCAGAGAGATGGATCATTGGTCAGGCTCTCCTGAGGATATCCCACATCACACTGAGAACAGCTGTTAGACCTGAGTACTTCTACTTTTACACAAGTACAAGATCTGAGTTACTCAAGTACCAGACCTGAGTACTTCTACTTTGACTTCAGTAAGAGGAGAAGTACTCAGATCTTGTACTTCAGTAAAAGTAGAAGTACTCAGTTCTTGTACTTCAGTAAAAGTAGAAGTACTCAGTTCTTGTACTTCAGTAAAAGTAGAAGTACTCAGATCTTGTACTTCAGTAAAAGTAGAAGTACTCAGATCTTGTACTTTAGTAAAAGTGGAAGTACTCAGATCTTGTACTTTAGTAAAAGTGGAAGTACTCAGATCTTGTACTTTAGTAAAAGTGGAAGTACTCAGATCTTGTACTTCAGTAAAAGTAGAAGTACTCAGATCTTGTACTTTAGTAAAAGTGGAAGTACTCAGATCTTGTACTTCAGTAAAAGTGGAAGTACTCAGAATGATCGTGTACTTGTAGCTGGTTCACTAACTCACCGTCTGTGATGATCAGAGCTTTGGCAGAACTCTTCTGTTTGGACATGACGTCACCCAGGTGAGCGACAGACAGGGGAGCGACAGACAGACAGGCGAGCGACAGACAGGGGAGCGACAGACAGGGGAGCGACAGACAGACAGGTGGGGGAGCGACAGACAGGCGAGCAACAGACAGGGGAGCGACAGACAGACAGGTGAGCGACAGACAGACAGGTGAGCGACAGACAGACAGGCGAGCGACAGACAGACAGGGGAGCGACAGACAGACAGGGGAGCGACAGACAGACAGGTGAGCGACAGACAGACAGGGGAGCGACAGACAGACAGGCGAGCGACAGACAGGGGAGCGACAGACAGACAGGTGAGCGACAGACAGACAGGGGAGCGACAGACAGACAGGTGAGCGACAGACAGACAGGGGAGCGACAGACAGGCGAGCAACAGACAGACAGGGGAGCGACAGACAGGTGAGCGACAGACAGACAGGGGAGCGACAGACAGACAGGTGAGCGACAGACAGACAGGGGAGCGACAGACAGGCGAGCAACAGACAGGCGGCTTCACTCAGTAATCGATCATTGTTGTTAATGTTGAGATTTATGAGTATTTATTGTCATTATTATTATCTTTTTTCTCTGTCTGTCCCGCCGTCTCTCCTCCTGCCGACCCGGAAGCAGAGCCAAATCCACGTGACCGGTGTTCTAAGCTCTCATTGGCTGGGACGATCACATGACATTAGAGGAGAAGACGGCAGACGGAAGCGCGCGGATCCCACTGCAAGTGCACATGTCCCGGTGTGTTTACCTTCAGAGGACCGAGCTCAGGTGAGTCCAGAGGCTCCGGTTCTGCTATCAGAGGCTCCCTGCTACGGCTGCAGAGGAGGGAGGTAGAGGAGTACAAATACTTCGTTACTGTACTTAAGTACATGTTTCTGGCGACAGTACTTTACTCCACTACTTATTTTTCTGACCACTTTTTACTTTGACTTCTTACATTTCTAACACAAATACCTGTACTTTCTATACTTGAGCAAAGAAGTTTAGTCAGTACTTCTACTTTCACCAGAGTATTTTTAAACACGAGTTACTGTACTTCTACTTGAGTAAAGGATGTGTGTACTTCTACTTGAGTAAACGATGTGTGTACTTTGCCATCTCTAAGCAGCTGTGAGTGACAGCTGGGGGCGGGACTAGTGAAGCTGGTCCTGACCAGGGGCCTCATTTCTAAAGGGATATACGCTCAAAAGATGGCGTACGCCAGTTTCTACGCAATGTTTGCGATTTATAAAATACTAACTTGAGGGGAAAACGTGCGGTCCTCCACGCACACTCTGACCCATGCGTACGCACTAAGCACAGAGACGGGAGAGACGAGAAACTGCGACCCCGTTGGCAGAAGGAAGAGTGGAGAGAAATATGTGGAAATAATACCATAAACAAAATGTTACCTCTCATTTATCAGATATGAAGAATTCATTTTCAAACATTGATTAAAGCCAATCTTAAAATGATTTAACAAACGCCTGTGTGAGACTCCTCAGCGCGCGCACACACACACACACACACACACACACACACACACACACACACACACACACACACACACACACACACACACACACACACATCACCTGGAGAAATAAATAAATATGGATATGCTATTTAAAACCACCTCGAATATGTTGTGATAATGTTATGAAATGTTTTCTCATAAATGATGCGGTTTTGCATTTCTAGGTTGTACTAGGATGGTTTTATATGCTTTCATGTTTAATCATGTTTTATGCCGTTTGCTAAGACTTGATAAGTCTCTCGTAAAACACAGGAGGTATGGAAGCTAAGAACACCATATGTGGTCAATTGTACAGCTGATATAACACAACACATTAGTTGTATTTCCTTTAACTGGTGGATATAGGGTTGCTGCGGGGGGTTGAGACGCACAGGCTGCAGTGGAGACGCTGCGCACAGCTGATCGACAGCTGGGACACAAACCACCAAATACAAAAACAAAATTCAGATCCAGTTGTCATGACTCCACTCCGGAGGGATTCCCCGATGAGTTTCTTACAGTCTCTCATCAAGGGGGGGTCTCCTGTCCCCGGTGCAAACACACTGCCTGAGGAAGGCTATGTGTATTGTTTTTGTCATGAACCTTTTTCGGACCACTTATTTATTCATGTTGGAGACGATCCGACCTCCATGCTGCTCCTCTGGTTCAAACTGCATCCACCGAACAATGTGATTTATCTCCACCTCCCCAAAATAACCAGAATCTGACACGGTGTGAGACGTCTGTTTTAGCTTTCTGTCCTCATTTCCTGCGATCTTCTTCATAAAGTCAGTCAGAATGAATGAATGAATTAATGGGCGTTTCTTTGACTATTTATAGGCAAATATGGGCGTTACGTGAAGCCCACAAAAGCTGCACCGCATTTCGAGTCGGTTGTGATTTATAAAGGGAAACCGGCGTAGGAAGTGCCGTACGCACTTTCCTCGCCGGTACGCAATGTTTGGTGAATCGGAACATTTCTGTACCTATTTTTTGGATTTCTACTACGTAAGCAACCCTCCCACGTGAATCCTATGCACGGCGTTATACATGAGGCCCCTGGTCCCAGATCAGTCTATGATACTGTTATCAAGGTTAGGGAGAAGTACTAGAGTAAAAGTAGAAGTACTGAGATCTGGTACCTGAGTAAAAGTAGAAGTTATGTTTGATATATCTAACGTTGCAGGTATTTCCCCCGTGGTATCTGTAGCTTCAGGAACAGAAGGAAGCTGTGGAGCTGAAAGGTTAACTCTCGAGGAGCAGGAACATTAACAGATTGATGAAACAGCTGCAGGTAAATATCTGTTTAAACCCATAATATAACAAAGTAAAAAGCTTTTGTTGTGAACATCCTGAGTGTCCTCCTCCAACATGAGAGCAGCATGCTAACAGAGGTATCAACTGTAGCTGAGAACATGACAGGATGTGTGATTACCTAGAAGAGCATCAGGACTGTTTGAGGCAGATGATAGCTATGTGATTAACATGATGATTCAGCCTCTATGGAGAGAGACATCAAGCATGCTCATTTCTGACGTGGAGCTAATCTGAAGTAAACATTGAATACTGCTTTCTATTCCTCCATCTTGTGACTGTGTAACTCCCTCTCTTGATATCAGCATGTGAAGGACACTGTTCAGGAACTAGTTGATGCTCTGTATGTGATGACTCCTTCCATTCTGGAGAGGATCACAGATACATGGATCCTGAGGCTGAAGCTCAAGCCGGTGACCAGGGAGAGTTTTCTAACACCTTCCTACCTATTTACCTTTCAGAGCTGGAAAATGTCTGAAGAGGTTCCACATGAGGCGGATCATACCCAGTCCACCCAGTCCACCCAGTCCCTGTCCCAGGCTCTCTCCACCCTGTCCCCGACCCAGTCCCCGACCCAGGCTAAGTCCCAGTCTAAGACCCAGCAGGGCTCCAGCTCTTCCAGCGGTCCCACCTCCTCCTCCAGCGGCTCTGGGACTCTGAGCAGCGTCGACACCATCCCTGTCACTCTGTCCTCCGTCCCAGAGGAGCCAGAGCCTCAGCCCTGGGGCCGCCTGCTGCCCATGGCCCGGGGCTTCAGGAGCCACGGTGAGCTAACACAGAGCTAACAGTAGGGATGCATATCGTTGACTTTTTTACGATACCGATGCCGATACCACTGAACGATACCGATACTCAACCGATACATATCGTGATACTTTGAAAATGTATCATCCCACAATTACTCCCATGAAGCGCTTTACGATATAGTTAACATGTCAAATGAATATTAAATTCAATTGTGGGACTTCTTGGACCTTTTAGTTCTGAACAAACAATGAAAGATACATAAAAAATATGAAGAAAACCGATTATGGAATATATTTTATAACACATCAGGTGTGCCGCGTGAATAGCACATCTTGTCAATGCAAACAGACCGTTATAATTAATGTTAAACCTGAGATTCGACTAGAGAACAAATACATAATAGAATAATGGTCATGAGATCACAACAAATCTCATCTTTAAAATCAACATTTACCTTCACTGGTGAGAGAAAACAAATCCCATCACAGTCCTTTTGATGGGACTTTTACCTTTCTAGAATAAACAATGAAAAATACATAAAATATGAAGAAAAACGATTATGCAATCTAATTCATAACACCCGCCATCACGGGCCACGGACTCACTTTTAAAATTAATTAAAATAATACTTTTTTTTTTTTAAAGTATCGAAACCGGATCTGATTTCGGTACGGTATACCGTAGCCACCAGTAACCGGTATTTCGGTAATACCGGATACCGGTATGCATCCCTAGCTAACACAGGGCTAACACAAGGCTAACACAGGGTTAACACAGGGTTAACACAGGGCTAACACAGGGCCAACACAGGGTTAACACAGGGTTAACACAGGGTTAACACAGGGTTAACACAGGGTTAACACAGGG